ATTGTGAGCCACCTTCGCCCTCCTCATTGTGAGCCACCTTCGCCCTCCTCATTGTGAGCCACCTTCGCCCTCCTCATTGTGAGCCACCTTCGCCCTCCTCATTGTGAGCCACCTTCGCCCTCCTCATTGTGAGCCACCTTCGCCCTCCTCATTGTGAGCCACCTTCGCCCTCCTCATTGTGAGCCACCTTCGCCCTCCTCATTGTGAGCCACCTTCGCCCTCCTCATTGTGAGCCACCTTCGCCCTCCTCATTGTGAGCCACCTTCGCCCTCCTCATTGTGAGCCACCTTCGCCCTCCTCATTGTGAGCCACCTTCGCCCTCCTCATTGTGAGCCACCTTCGCCCTCCTCATTGTGAGCCACCTTCGCCCTCCTCATTGTGACCCACCTTCGCCCTCCTCATTGTGAGCCACCTTCGCCCTCCTCATTGTGACCCACCTTCGCCCTCCTCATTGTGAGCCACCTTCGCCCTCCTCATTGTGAGCCACCTTCGCCCTCCTCATTGTGAGCCACCTTCGCCCTCCTCATTGTGAGCCACCTTCGCCCTCCTCATTGTGAGCCACCTTCGCCCTCCTCATTGTGAGCCACCTTCGCCCTCCTCATTGTGAGCCACCTTCGCCCTCCTCATTGTGAGCCACCTTCGCCCTCCTCATTGTGAGCCACCTTCGCCCTCCTCATTGTGAGCCACCTTCGCCCTCCTCATTGTGAGCCACCTTCGCCCTCCTCATTGTGACCCACCTTCGCCCTCCTCATTGTGAGCCACCTTCGCCCTCCTCATTGTGAGCCACCTTCGCCCTCCTCATTGTGAGCCACCTTCGCCCTCCTCATTGTGAGCCACCTTCGCCCTCCTCGTTGTGAGCCACCTTCGCCCTCCTCATTGTGAGCCACCTTCGCCCTCCTCATTGTGAGCCACCTTCGCCCTCCTCATTGTGAGCCACCTTCGCCCTCCTCGTTGTGAGTCACCTTCGCCCTCCTCGTTGTGAGCCACCTTCGCCCTCCTCGTTGTGAGTCACCTTCGCCCTCCTCGTTGTGAGCCACCTTCGCCCTCCTCATTGTGAGCCACCTTCGCCCTCCTTATTGTGAGCCACCTTCGCCCTCCTCATTGTGAGCCACCTTCGCCCTCCTCATTGTGAGCCACCTTCGCCCTCCTCATTGTGAGCCACCTTCGCCCTCCTCATTGTGAGCCACCTTCGCCCTCCTCATTGTGAGCCACCTTCGCCCTCCTCATTGTGAGCCACCTTCGCCCTCCTCATTGTGAGCCACCTTCGCCCTCCTCATTGTGAGCCACCTTCGCCCTCCTCATTGTGAGCCACCTTCGCCCTCCTCATTGTGAGCCACCTTCGCCCTCCTCATTGTGAGCCACCTTCGCCCTCCTCATTGTGAGCCACCTTCGCCCTCCTCATTGTGAGCCACCTTCGCCCTCCTCATTGTGAGCCACCTTCGCCCTCCTCATTGTGAGCCCACCCCAGCACGCCATGGTTGAAGGTGAGTATTCCTGCACGGCTCGAGACATATTTTCCTCCTGTCAAGCCCACATAGCCAGTTCTCAAGCCCTTCCCCCGTCACCTCCCCTCCTGACCTCTGCCCCCGTTGCAGCAAGCAGGGGGGCACATGCGGCGGGCGGGCATGGTGGAGGCAGCGCTGCACCGCATGGCACTCGCTGGCTGCCCGCATGATGCCGTGGTCAGCCACCCGCCCCCCACCCAACCATCCCTTGTCTCTCAATTCCCATGCACTCCTTACATGCAACATCTCTCCCTTACATGCTCTTCTGCTGGCACCACTGTTTCAGCATTGTTGAATCCCGTCCAGCCGGCTCAACCTCACGTCACCTGTCGCCTCTCCTCCTTCTTCCTTGTGCACGCCGTCAGACGTACCGCAGTGCGGTGTATGCGTGGGTGCGGTGTGGCGAGGGCGGGCGCGCGCTGGAGGTGCTGCAGGAGATGGTGGCGGCCGGCCACCCGCCCGCCATGACCGTGCCGGACGTGCTCATCAAGGTGACGTGCTCATCAAGGTGACGTGCTCATCAAGGTGACGTGCTCATCAAGGTGACGTGCTCATCAAGGTGACGTGCTCATCAAGGTGACGTGCTCATCAAGGTGACGTGCTCATCAAGGTGACGTGCTCATCAAGGTGACGTGCTCATCAAGGTGACGTGCTCATCAAGGTGACGTGCTCATCAAGGTGACGTGCTCATCAAGGTGACGTGCTCATCAAGGTGACGTGCTCATCAAGGTGACGTGCTCATCAAGGTGTGCTCATCAAGGTGTGCTCATCAAGGTGTGCTCATCAAGGTGTGCTCATCAAGGTGTGCTCATCAAGGTGTGCTCATCAAGGTGTGCTCATCAAGGTGTGCTCATCAAGGTGTGCTCATCAAGGTGTGCTCGTCAAGGTGTGCTCATCAAGGTGTGCTCATCAAGGTGTGCTCATCAAGGTGTGCTCATCAAGGTGTGCTTATCAAGGTGTGCTCATCAAGGTGTGCTCATCAAGGTGTGCCTGACGTCAAACCTCAAGCTCGAGGAAGAATGGTTGTGTGTATGGGTACAATAGAAAAATGCAACCTTAATTGCGAGGAGGGAACAATGTTTGTTTTGCTCATCACTTTTGCCTGGGTTGAGAGAAGAAAACAACCCTTCGGTCAGTCTAGGCATGAGCATGGCACCGAACCGCAGTTTGAATCAAATCAGTTCGACTCAAACTCAACCGTGGTTGAATAGTTTCCTGCTCCCTATCCCACACAATCTACAATGGAATCAATCACTTCTGTTGTCACGACTCAATGCTTTTCCTCGTTACCAGATGTGTCGCTTCTGTTGTTGCTAGCTTCTTAATCTCACTGAGCTCCGCCACTCCTTTCTCGATGACTTACCCTCGTGTGTGCCAACCTGCCCCCTCCGGCCGCGTGCCCTTCCAGAGTGTGGACGGTGCTTTGCTGCTCGAGTGCACGCGGGCAGCACCTGACGGCAATTTGAAGAACTTCCTGCGAGAGATGAAAAGCGCTGGTGAGAGGGGTGCTGATAACATGTGCACTTGACGAGAATGTGAAGCATTTGTTCGTCCTTGACATCACTTGCTTGCTCTAGCGTTGATTGGACCTTTACCCTAAACTGTTGGTGGTCATTCCAACGCTTCTCTCACCTCTTTGCTCCCATGGCTCCTAAGCCATCATCCCAGCAGGCTTCTAAGCATACCGTGTCATTGCCTCGCAACGAGCCAGCACAGTGTGGAATGCTCTTCATCCTCCCTTCGTCCTTTCCATCGCATCACCCTTCTGATGCAAATGCTTCTTGTTCATCCCGTGTCCTCCCTTTCTAACCCATCTCCTCAACTCTCGTCGTGTGTCTGTGTTTGTACCCGCCAGGGCTCACCCCCACGGCGTCCACATCGGCGCACCTCGTGCAGCTCCTCGCCTCCTCGCACTCACCCGCCCACGCGCTCGGTAAAACGCCCTCCCTTACACCACCCACTCCCGCTGCCACCTGCTCGCCTTCACAACCCCAAGCGCGCCCAACAACACCCCATGTGCGCCCAACAACACCCCAAGCGCGCCCAACAACACCCCATGTGCGCCCAACAACACCCCAAGCGCGCCCAACAACACCCCATGTGCGCCCAACAACACCCCAAGCGCGCCCAACAACACCCCATGTGCGCCCAACAACACCCCAAGCGCGCCCAACAACACCCCATGTGCGCCCCTCCCTGCCGGCCCGTGCATGTCCAACAGATGCCGCCCACGAGCTGGCAGCAGCTGGGGTGGGCCAACTGGGAGGCGCCACGTGGCATGCAATAGGGCAGGCTGTGTGGCACATGTCCCACAGCAACCCCCACGAGGTAAGGCTTCATCAACCCCCACGAGGTAAGGCTTCATCAACCCCCATGAGGTAAGGCTTCATCAACCCCCATGGCATGCCGCACCCACAGCCATGCCGCACACACAGCCATGGCAGCTCTTCACATCTCCCTGTGGCTCGCCTGTGCAATCCCTTGCCCCGTGCCCGTCCCTCCACATGCCTGCAGGCCGCCCTTGCAGCCCAGCGCCTGCTGTCCGCCGTGGAGGCTGATGGATGCCCTGTGACCAGGTGAGTCCAGCGGTGAGGGGAGGGGTGAGGCGAGAGGTGAGGGGAGGGGTGAGGCGGGAGGTGAGGCGAGAGGTGGGGCGAGAGGTGAGGCGAGAGGTGAGGCGAGAGGTGAGGGGAGAGATGAGGCGAGAGGTGAGGCATGGCGAGTGCATGGGTGGGGAGTGCATGGGTGGGGGGAGTGCATGGGTGGGGAGTGCATGGGGGGGCAGGAAGCTTGGTCTGTGCCCCTCCAGCATCGCATGCCTCTGCTGTGCTCGCTTGGTGCACTATCTGCCCTGCTGTACCTGCAACACTCCACTGGACTGCGATGGCAGTCATTCAGCCCCGCCCCCCCCTGTGAGCGTGCAGGGAGCTGTACGAGGTGGCCATCGCAGTGCATGTGCGCAGCGGCCACGGCACCACCGCCCTGCACCTGCACCGCCTCATGGAGGCCGCCCATCCCGCCGCCCCTGCCACCCATGACGCCCTGCCTGCCACCCATGACGCCCTGCCTGCCCGTGAGGATGATACCCGGCCTGCTCCCCAGGGTGGCCTCCAAAGAGCCTCGCATGGTGCTTCTCATGGGGAAGCCATGCCTCCAGCACAGGGGAGTCGGGAAGAGAAAGGGAAGGCGTTGGAAGATTCATCACGATTGGAGGGGGCTGGAGATGGGCAAGCACGTGGGGGCGCGTGGAGTGGAGTGGCAGGGCGAGTAGCAAATGGGCGCACCATTCACTCCAGCACAGCTTCTGATCACTGTTTCCAGCCCAGCCCGCGCAGCAGCAGCAGCAGCAGCAGCAGCAGCAGCAACGACACCATGCACAGAAGTGACGGCGACATGAGCAGCAGCGAGGACAACATGAGCAGCATCGAGGAAGCTTCTTCCGAGCTCACATTTTTGGAAGCCATAGATGCCGCCCTCACCCACGCCCTGGCTCAGGTGTGCCCTCACCCACGCCCTGGCTCAGGTGTGCCCTCACCCACGCCCTGGCTCAGGTGTGCCCTCACCCACGCCCTGGCTCAGGTGTGCCCTCACCCACGCCCCTCAGGTGTGTCCTCACCCACGCCCTGGCTCAGGTGTGCCCTCACCCACGCCCCTCAGGTGTGCCCTCACCCACGCCCCTCAGGTGTGCCCTCACCCACGCCCCTCAGGTGTGTCCTCACCCACGCCCCTCGGGTGTGTCCTCACCCACGCCCCTCAGGTGTGTCCTCACCGCAACGGATGAGATGAGGTCGTATGCTTCTTGCTTGGGTTCGATGCCACTGTCTCCTCCACCTGTCAGCGTACTGTTGCAGCGCTGGTGTGGAGTATGTGCATGGAATAAAACTGCTGCGTGCACCACCAAGTATGTGCATGGAATAAAACTGCTGCGTGCACCACCAAGTATGTGCATGGAATAAAACTGCTGCGTGCACCACCAAGTATGTGCATGGAATAAAACTGCTGCGTGCACCACCAAGTATGTGCATGGAATAAAACTGCTGCGTGCACCACCAAGTATGTGCATGGAATAAAACTGCTGCGTGCACCACCAAGTATGTGCATGGAATAAAACTGCTGCGTGCACCACCAAGTATGTGCATGGAATAAAACTGCTGCGTGCACCACCAAGTATGTGCATGGAATAAAACTGCTGCGTGCACCACCAAGTATGTGCATGGAATAAAACTGCTGCGTGCACCACCAAGTATGTGCATGGAATAAAACTGCTGCGTGCACCACCAAGTATGTGCATGGAATAAAACTGCTGCGTGCACCACCAAGTATGTGCATGGAATAAAACTGCTGCGTGCACCACCAAGTATGTGCATGGAATAAAACTGCTGCGTGCACCACCAAGTATGTGCATGGAATAAAACTGCTGCGTGCACCACCAAGTATGTGCATGGAATAAAACTGCTGCGTGCACCACCAAGTATGTGCATGGAATAAAACTGCTGCGTGCACCACCAAGTATGTGCATGGAATAAAACTGCTGCGTGCACCACCAAGTATGTGCATGGAATAAAACTGCTGCGTGCACCACCAAGTATGTGCATGGAATAAAACTGCTGCGTGCACCACCAAGTATGTGCATGGAATAAAACTGCTGCGTGCACCACCAAGTATGTGCATGGAATAAAACTGCTGCGTGCACCACCAAGTATGTGCATGGAATAAAACTGCTGCGTGCACCACCAAGTATGTGCATGGAATAAAACTGCTGCGTGCACCACCAAGTATGTGCATGGAATAAAACTGCTGCGTGCACCACCAAGTATGTGCATGGAATAAAACTGCTGCGTGCACCACCAAGTATGTGCATGGAATAAAACTGCTGCGTGCACCACCAAGTATGTGCATGGAATAAAACTGCTGCGTGCACCACCAAGTATGTGCATGGAATAAAACTGCTGCGTGCACCACCAAGTATGTGCATGGAATAAAACTGCTGCGTGCACCACCAAGTATGTGCATGGAATAAAACTGCTGCGTGCACCACCAAGTATGTGCATGGAATAAAACTGCTGCGTGCACCACCAAGTATGTGCATGGAATAAAACTGCTGCGTGCACCACCAAGTATGTGCATGGAATAAAACTGCTGCGTGCACCACCAAGTATGTGCATGGAATAAAACTGCTGCGTGCACCACCAAGTATGTGCATGGAATAAAACTGCTGCGTGCACCACCAAGTATGTGCATGGAATAAAACTGCTGCGTGCACCACCAAGTATGTGCATGGAATAAAACTGCTGCGTGCACCACCAAGTATGTGCATGGAATAAAACTGCTGCGTGCACCACCAAGTATGTGCATGGAATAAAACTGCTGCGTGCACCACCAAGTATGTGCATGGAATAAAACTGCTGCGTGCACCACCAAGTATGTGCATGGAATAAAACTGCTGCGTGCACCACCAAGTATGTGCATGGAATAAAACTGCTGCGTGCACCACCAAGTATGTGCATGGAATAAAACTGCTGCGTGCACCACCAAGTATGTGCATGGAATAAAACTGCTGCGTGCACCACCAAGTATGTGCATGGAATAAAACTGCTGCGTGCACCACCAAGTATGTGCATGGAATAAAACTGCTGCGTGCACCACCAAGTATGTGCATGGAATAAAACTGCTGCGTGCACCACCAAGTATGTGCATGGAATAAAACTGCTGCGTGCACCACCAAGTATGTGCATGGAATAAAACTGCTGCGTGCACCACCAAGTATGTGCATGGAATAAAACTGCTGCGTGCACCACCAAGTATGTGCATGGAATAAAACTGCTGCGTGCACCACCAAGTATGTGCATGGAATAAAACTGCTGCGTGCACCACCAAGTATGTGCATGGAATAAAACTGCTGCGTGCACCACCAAGTATGTGCATGGAATAAAACTGCTGCGTGCACCACCAAGTATGTGCATGGAATAAAACTGCTGCGTGCACCACCAAGTATGTGCATGGAATAAAACTGCTGCGTGCACCACCAAGTATGTGCATGGAATAAAACTGCTGCGTGCACCACCAAGTATGTGCATGGAATAAAACTGCTGCGTGCACCACCAAGTGTGTGCATGGAATAAAACTGCTGCGTGCACCACCAAGTATGTGCATGGAATAAAACTGCTGCGTGCACCACCAAGTATGTGCATGGAATAAAACTGCTGCGTGCACCACCAAGTATGTGCATGGAATAAAACTGCTGCGTGCACCACCAAGTATGTGCATGGAATAAAACTGCTGCGTGCACCACCAAGTATGTGCATGGAATAAAACTGCTGCGTGCACCACCAAGTATGTGCATGGAATAAAACTGCTGCGTGCACCACCAAGTGTGTGCATGGAATAAAACTGCTGCGTGCACCACCAAGTATGTGCATGGAATAAAACTGCTGCGTGCACCACCAAGTGTGTGCATGGAATAAAACTGCTGCGTGCACCACCAAGTATGTGCATGGAATAAAACTGCTGCGTGCACCACCAAGTATGTGCATGGAATAAAACTGCTGCGTGCACCACCAAGTATGTGCATGGAATAAAACTGCTGCGTGCACCACCAAGTATGTGCATGGAATAAAACTGCTGCGTGCACCACCAAGTATGTGCATGGAATAAAACTGCTGCGTGCACCACCAAGTATGTGCATGGAATAAAACTGCTGCGTGCACCACCAAGTATGTGCATGGAATAAAACTGCTGCGTGCACCACCAAGTATGTGCATGGAATAAAACTGCTGCGTGCACCACCAAGTATGTGCATGGAATAAAACTGCTGCGTGCACCACCAAGTATGTGCATGGAATAAAACTGCTGCGTGCACCACCAAGTATGTGCATGGAATAAAACTGCTGCGTGCACCACCAAGTATGTGCATGGAATAAAACTGCTGCGTGCACCACCAAGTATGTGCATGGAATAAAACTGCTGCGTGCACCACCAAGTATGTGCATGGAATAAAACTGCTGCGTGCACCACCAAGTATGTGCATGGAATAAAACTGCTGCGTGCACCACCAAGTATGTGCATGGAATAAAACTGCTGCGTGCACCACCAAGTGTGTGCATGGAATAAAACTGCTGCGTGCACCACCAAGTGTGTGCATGGAATAAAACTGCTGCGTGCACCACCAAGTATGTGCATGGAATAAAACTGCTGCGTGCACCACCAAGTATGTGCATGGAATAAAACTGCTGCGTGCACCACCAAGTATGTGCATGGAATAAAACTGCTGCGTGCACCACCAAGTATGTGCATGGAATAAAACTGCTGCGTGCACCACCAAGTGTGTGCATGGAATAAAACTGCTGCGTGCACCACCAAGTGTGTGCATGGAATAAAACTGCTGCGTGCACCACCAAGTATGTGCATGGAATAAAACTGCTGCGTGCACCACCAAGTATGTGCATGGAATAAAACTGCTGCGTGCACCACCAAGTATGTGCATGGAATAAAACTGCTGCGTGCACCACCAAGTATGTGCATGGAATAAAACTGCTGCGTGCACCACCAAGTATGTGCATGGAATAAAACTGCTGCGTGCACCACCAAGTATGTGCATGGAATAAAACTGCTGCGTGCACCACCAAGTATGTGCATGGAATAAAACTGCTGCGTGCACCACCAAGTATGTGCATGGAATAAAACTGCTGCGTGCACCACCAAGTATGTGCATGGAATAAAACTGCTGCGTGCACCACCAAGTATGTGCATGGAATAAAACTGCTGCGTGCACCACCAAGTATGTGCATGGAATAAAACTGCTGCGTGCACCACCAAGTATGTGCATGGAATAAAACTGCTGCGTGCACCACCAAGTATGTGCATGGAATAAAACTGCTGCGTGCACCACCAAGTATGTGCATGGAATAAAACTGCTGCGTGCACCACCAAGTATGTGCATGGAATAAAACTGCTGCGTGCACCACCAAGTATGTGCATGGAATAAAACTGCTGCGTGCACCACCAAGTATGTGCATGGAATAAAACTGCTGCGTGCACCACCAAGTATGTGCATGGAATAAAACTGCTGCGTGCACCACCAAGTATGTGCATGGAATAAAACTGCTGCGTGCACCACCAAGTATGTGCATGGAATAAAACTGCTGCGTGCACCACCAAGTATGTGCATGGAATAAAACTGCTGCGTGCACCACCAAGTGTGTGCATGGAATAAAACTGCTGCGTGCACCACCAAGTGTGTGCATGGAATAAAACTGCTGCGTGCACCACCAAGTATGTGCATGGAATAAAACTGCTGCGTGCACCACCAAGTATGTGCATGGAATAAAACTGCTGCGTGCACCACCAAGTATGTGCATGGAATAAAACTGCTGCGTGCACCACCAAGTATGTGCATGGAATAAAACTGCTGCGTGCACCACCAAGTATGTGCATGGAATAAAACTGCTGCGTGCACCACCAAGTGTGTGCATGGAATAAAACTGCTGCGTGCACCA